TTACAATTTCCTTTGGCAACTTATTTTTCCTCCCATTGGCTCTCATCACTTCTTTTTTTGAGTCCTTAAGTGGTTATAATTAATATGTGCTGATCAACTTTTTGATAGATGGAAGACTAGGAATGGCGTAAGAGATGTAGCTCTCTCCTCCACACACGGTAGAGTGATCCTTTATATTTAAATTGTTAAAGAGGATCTTGAGTTGGAGTATGTCTTACATGAGCCGCCTGGAATAGCCTGATAGTGACTCAGAATAAAGCAGCATCTTCTGGAAGACAGAGCTAATTATCCATTAACATTTGGATGCTTGTCTCACATTAATTTCCATGCTTGCCAAAACGATTCTGGCAGTGGAACGAGCTGTGAAATAAAAATATTAGTTTGGAAGTGCTAGCTCTGCCACGTATCTGCTTGCAAAGGGATGTACATGAATGGAAGCGCAAGGCAGCGCGTCCCGGAGGTGGAGGCGGTTACAAGCGGTGACCCAGGGTGTGCGGAAGCTCGGGTACTCCTGCACTGTCCCCAAGTAACCCAAAAGGCTTCACGGCCTCAGCTGCACGGTGGCTCCTTCCGTACCTCACCAAGGTGAGATCAGGCTCCTGCAAGCCAACAGAACAAACCCTCCTTGTCGATGCAGGACCACGGCACCCTACTGACAGTAACTCTGCCCAGAATGTCAACAGGGTGGTTTGGAGAAACACCAACCTGAAGCCAGGTCTGGCTTTCCTTCTGTTGTACAGTCCTTCGTGTGGCTAGAGAGTGACCACTTCCCTCTTTAGCCATGAGTGGAGGAAGTCTTTTCATTAGGATGGCCATAAAAGTCCCGTTACTCCTTTCAGATTCTATAGCAAAAGCTCTCCCACAAGCTGCACAACTGCTGTCCATCTAACATGCAGGTGAGGTTTCCAGCTGCTGTCCTCACAAGCCCTAGCGGGGCATTTCCAAAAGCAGAGAACCCAGCACGTACCGTCTCCTGCAAGCCACCCAGCTTCACTCGAGTAAGGTCCTGACGTGCTTTCCCAGCCTCTCCCCAGCTCAGGCACAATTCTTTTCTACGTTTCATGCTGTCAAAGGATGTGTTATAGTGCTCTCCCTCCAGTATTCTTAGCAGTAACATACCTGAAATTTAGTTCCAATTACTTTTCAGAGGGTGCATATCTCAAGCGACTTGGTGGATTTATGGGTCTCGCTATTTTAGAGACTCTCCCTACTTTAACGGCTGGACTGCATTAATGAACCACCCCGAGCCATCTCTTCATAATCCATTTCTCCAAAAGCAGCTGTGAATATTTTCTTCCCATTAAGGCTTATTCCTTTGGGTTTGATGTAATTAATTGTCACTTACGACTTAAAGAATATACGCCGATAAATATTTATGCCATGCACACCATCTGCTGCCTCTGATGCCCTGTGCACTTAACGTTTATAACACACCTACGAGCCTCACGCCGCACTTCACGCCGGAGGAACCCGTGGCCGTGACAGCAGCGGGCGGTTACAGATGTCCTCTCTGGAGGTGGCACGAGGATCCTGCTTCTTGCCAGGGTGGGCCATGGAGGCACACTGAGCGTGCCGGCATGCAGCGCCAACAGGGACACAGCTGTGGCGCCACACGCAGTCCCCAGGCACTTGCTTATCGCTGTGTCGGTGTCGGAGTGAGCGTTACATACAGCAGGGGGAAGGCAGCTGTGTGAGAGGAGCAGAGGGGCAGGAGAGAAAGTGGCAGATCTAGAGAGAAGATTAAAGATTGTCCAAGCCTGAAGTTACAGAAGAGAAGAGACTCTATTGTCGATCTTCCCTGTAACTCATGAAGCAGCTTTTGGCCGCTGTATAAAACACACATGCGGTACCAAAAATGTGGAAATACAACCCTTTAAGGGCATCCTGCCTTAACGCTAGCTCATACGTGAAGATGTGTTTTTCAGAGCTGGGTACGTACAGGAGCGAAAAGCAAAACGTGTCTTTCGGATCACACCAGTGGTCCTTTCGGTGGTGTTTTCACCCATGCTCAGTCTGCCCACACTGGGCGCTGTCAAGCAGGAGGAACTGGTGAGGAGGAGGGTTCTGAGCGGGGTCTGCGGGACGGACCCTCGCCCAGCAGCACCAACACCCACCCGCGCTGTGGAGAGGACTGAGGCTCCGTGCCACAATCTAGGCTGCAGCTGTTGGTTCCTGCTCCTCGTCAGGATATAATTAAGGTATCGTCAGGCTCAATAGGAAGACGGGACTTAAATCTAAAAATACCTCCAGTAATTATGGCTTAGATCTGGAAAGCAACGGATGGATTTTTGATTTCTGAAAGAGACAATGATATTCTTGAAGATGGTTGAGCAACTGCTGAGTGAAAGGTAGAAAAAACACCCTTGTAACCCCTGTCTCCAGGAGATACTGCGGGGGCTCTGGACACCACCTTGCCAGGGAGAGCAACCAACCTGCTCTGTCTGTTTTATGCAAACAAACAGGGCTTTGCTATGTTTACAAGGAAATGTAACTCCTCATTCAAACACAACAAAACAAACTCGTTGTTGCAGCTATGCATGGTCACTTTCGGGGACACACGTGTGGCTTTGATTTAAAAAAAACAGCAAACAAACAAAGCAACAAACAAACAGAAAAATGCTTTGGGGTTCCAGATTGCACTTCCACACTCAGCTGTGCCAAGACCCTTGTTGACTACTAGAAATCCTGGGAAGAAACTTCCTCCTTCCTGAACTCCTGTGAGGCTGGGTGCCCACCCTTCCCGCGCAACATCGGTGCAGAAGAGGTTCTCTGAAGGTGTTTAACCTTTTCAAGTGGACAGCAGGGCAAAATCAGATCAGATTGTCTGAAACAAGGAGGGTAGCAGACTTCAACCCCGGGATGTTTTAAAGAGAGTTGGCAGGATGTTTTATTCCAACAGAGAAATGAAAATAAACAGTACTACTACCTAGGACTTACCTCCACTGTCTCCCAGCGCACCTTCACCTAAGTCCCCCTCTGCGCCCCTTCCCAGCTTGTCCCCGTGGGAAGTCACCCGAGAAAGCCCCAGTGACCCGGGAGAGCTGCCCCGTCCCCCTGCACTCAGCCCTGGCACAGCTAATCTGATTTCCCAGATGTAAACACAGAGGATCAGACAAAAATAGTGTGTACAGAAAGTAGAAAAGGTAAGCTAGGACAGGACAATCTTCCAAGCTCTGCTCGCATCGTGCTCTCAGCACACGTGTAACACTTTTTCTCACAGACAGCTCCCCAGCGTGCTGCTCGGTTTGCGTGGAAGTGGAGAACAGACACCACATCTCGCTCTTAGTTCTCCCTGGGATTTCTGTTGTTCACCCTTGCAGATGACGAGAAACCCAGCATTCAATATGGACACACTAGCACTTCTTCTATTATAGAGGGGTCCCATAATTTGAAGGAACAATTTTCAGAGCTCAGGATAAGATTTCCAGCTTAAGCAGATATGAAATGCTGTTCCTCTTAACACAATTTATTATTTCCGTATCATAATGGCTACATCTTCATTAACCAGTTTGTGAATGAACGGACTGTTACACATACCAAAACAGTTGTTCTGCTTAGAAAAATAATTTCGCTTTGAGAAAGTAGTCTGCTATAACTGAGTTAAATGTTTAGTGTTTTAATAAGCCAATGTTAGTACACTTGGTGAGCATATGCAGGACAGCCTTAAGTCTATTTTTACTTGTACTAAGTGTGCTGATCTGTAATGGGACATAATGAATATAGCATTTATGAAAACTATGTTCATATGGTCTTGTTGCATTTATAGTTACAGTAAGATCAGACCCCTTGTAACTAAACATGAAGTCCTGAAAATGAAAACTGAACACTGTGGCTAAATGTATCACTAGCAATCTTTGGGAAAAGCAACCCTTAATGATACAGTAATTTGAGATTTCTTGTTTTCCCTCTGTTTCCCTCTTGTTTTCCCTCCCTAGTGACAACTTCCAGAGGCAGTTTAAAACATCTCTGGCACCATCAGCAACAGCAATTTATAAAATCTTCCACATGCAAGAGAAGACAGAGCATATTTTCTGCTAAGGGCAGTCTGGTTTGCTTGCTAATTGCGAAGCTGGGGAAGCTATTCCCTGTTCCTAGCCTTTCTCCTCCCTCATTCCTGCAGCTTCTGCTCGTTTTGCACCAACTTGGAATGAAACCCTCTGCAGGTTCCAAGTGTGATACTAAGCCAGTGCTCAATCCTTACACAGTGGTTAAATACTCCCTGCTCTAACTAAACTTTACTCCTCAAGAGCCCCTTCCCCGTCTCACTCAGCGTCACCCAAGTAGGCACAGGAGTGGCAATAAATGGGATTCTGTGTCAGGATCCACTCTCCTGAGCCCTCTGTGGGATGCAGCACCGTGACGGTGACAGGACTGTGCTTCCCTGCAGCCCGGGGATGTCGTGTACGAAGCAACAGAAAAACCTCTACTTCTCCGTGCACGCTCTTACCCAAAAGCTGTTCTTAACTGCAGTATGAGCCACAATACTGAGATTTAAATTGTGTTTCCAATGTAAAATAATTGTGTTTGAGTTCTTTAGCAGCTTCTCCTCATCTAATACGGGAAGAGTTTTCTCTTTAATTGTATCTCTATGCCTCCAAGGACAGAGAGCAGCCTTTTAAACATCTGCTCTTTCCAACCTACCGCTTAACACGTTATGGGTGGGAAAAATTTTCTCTTTGGCTTGTTTTTCTCTCCTGTCAGTTGTGGATTAGGAACACAGGAAAATACAGAGGGCTGCAAAGTCTGAAGGCCAAGTGTGGGGAAACCTCTGCAGTAATCTTTACGAACGTGCTCTGTATAGAGATCTGTGCGCATTTTTCTTTGGGTGCTCGCCTTTAGCAGAAAGCTGAGAATTACAGAAACTGTAGATACATTGCTCCCATGTCAGTGTCGGTTAGCTGTTGACTTTTTTTAATCTAACACGTGCTGTGGTCGGCCCCACACCCTACCCAAGTAGCTCTCTATGGATTTTCCCCAGAGGAGATACAGTGGGTACTTACTGAGGCACAGCTGCTTTCTGACTTGTCTTCCAGAAAGCCAATTTGGCATGGTGTCCTCTGATTCTGCAGCCAGTAGTCTGTTGATTCTAGCAGACTGTTACTGCAGAGAATCTGTTAAAATAGTTAAAAATAGTTAAAATAATTTAAAAACTTATTTAGTCCTACTGTGCTTCAGGGGCCTGAACTCTATTGTTGCGCCTCAAAGGAAATCTTACCTACAAAATTGGGGGCGGGGGGACACAAGGCTGGCTGGGGCCCTTGCTCTTTGTGGGCCTGTCCCGTTAATGCACCTTAAATCAAGTGGTTTATATACCCCCTAAAGTATCAGCCTATTTTCTTTCAGAACTGAAAGTCCTTGGAGATACTCAAAGGAGATACCTAAACTGAACACTTTTATTGGAAAATATTGCTAGGAGTTTTGTTCTGTGTCAAAGTGATAAACATAGGTGGTGGGTAAAACAGTTATTTAATTACACCAGCGTGCACAAACTTTAAGCCTTCGTGATTCACCATCTTCCTCCACAACAGATCAGCGCTACTCATTCTGCCAGCAGCCCCATTCCTGGGACTGCCTCGGCTACGAGCTCTTCTTAAACGCATTTTTCTGCTTTCTGAGAAGCTAAAGCATTTAGGACCTGCTGTAATGAGCACTGAGCTCAGCCAGTACCAGAACTTTGTGTTTAATCTCTCTGTGTTGACCCAGACCTACAGCTTACGCCTCAAGCTTTGCTCAAACCAACCCAAAGTTACCTGCAGGTACCTGCAGACTATAGAGGCAGTTTTGCAGGTCTGATATTTAGATCAATCTGAATTCCTTACCTCCTATCTCTGTGCTAATACTCCTCCATGAAAAAGAGGGACCCTTAGTATTTGTAAACTAACTTGGCAACAGCAGGAAAAGAACAGCTGCAACAATAATGCCACTTACAGAACATTTTATCTGGCTTACCGTCCTCCCCAGGCAGCAATGTTAACAAGTATGGTGGTGAAATGGATGTGTATTCTGTCTGCACTTCTCACAATTCTTGCATGCTGTGGAATTAGGCTGTACTCTACCTCTTTAGATTTTATTTTCATTATGATATTTTAAAATACAGATTTGTTGCCCTACCTAGGAAAAAAATCTGCCTGCAGCACTTCTCCTTTCCTTCCCGCATGTTCTGCACCGACAGGCCTTTGTCCTGCTTGGGGAACACTTGATCCCTAGAGCCCTTCCTGGGGAAGAGAAGTGAGAAGGACTTGTGAGACCCCTTCACTTCTCTGGAAAGACGAGCGGCTGTGGAAAGCTGCTCTGGCCAGCTGACACTGTTTTCTAATACTCCGGGGCAATCCAGAAGTAAGCTCATTACCACCCACGGAATAACACCCACTCTATCTTTCAGGCAAAAAGCCAGTGAGATAGCTAATACCACACTCCCTGCATTATTCTACATTTTTTTCTGAATAAAAGCCAGCAGCAGGCAGATGAGGAGGTGATGGGCAACCCAACGGTCCATAGGTTTGGCCTCCCTTTCAGTGCTTTGCACCTCCATGGTGGTTGTTTCTCAGCATCTGCTCTTCTGCCAAAGAGCTTCTGGATACAAACTTAGGGTTCACAAAATACTTAGAAAAAACACCGTGCCTGAAAACTTTGTTCTGAGAGTTACAAAGGCTCACAAATGTCTCACCTCAACGCCTGTCCCTTCTCAGGGGCTGCTAGCTAATTTTGTTTACCACCAAATGACTCTGCACTCAGTAAATTTTGTAATCTCCTGCCTCAGTGCAAAAGGATTCCTGTCACCATAACTAACTCTGAGGCTAAATGGGGAAAATAACATATTTCATATCCCAAAGAAACAATTTTCTGTTAGTGTTATAAATGGTTCTTCTGTCCTTTTTTTAAAAAAAAGAAATGTTTTCAAATTTGGAGATACCCAACCATCATAAACTGGTTGGTAAAATCTAGAATCAAGCACTTCTCTTTTTCCAAAAATTACCATCCTGAGGCTCTTATGAAGACAAAGAATTGAACATACACATACACACACAAACGCACACACTCACATATATCTGGATATATACATATATGATTTCAGATTTCATCTGATTCTAGATCTTCTCATCCTCAAGGACTGAAGTTCTAATTGCCTGTTATGACATATTTTTGCATACATAGGAAGCAGTTCTCTAGCTCAAATAGCTTTTGCTGTAACAAGCAGTCTTGCTTCATTTCCTTAGAAATCACAGTGAATTTGTCTTCAGCCTGAATCACTTCAGATCTTTCTTTCCCAAATCTCACACAGTTTCTGAAAAATTGGAATAGTCAGAAATTATCACTCAGAAACAAGCTTCAGAAATCCTCAGTACTACTACTCTTAGACTCACAAGGACTCGGTGTGCACACCCAGCATTTCAGAACATCCAGACCACGGCAGATGTACACTGCAGATGATAAATCCATGAAATGAGCTGGGCAGTCCAAACTTGACCTCATTTTCCCCCACCCCGTGGGGTGCTAATCGACCCCTGGTAGTTCTGTCTTTCTTTTGGAGGATGTTTTTACCAGGAAGCAAATTCTGGTAAGGTACCAACAGAAGAAATAACACTCCTGAAAAAAATGTTTCAGTCAGGTCCCAGTTGCCAGGCTTGGGTTGCTCCAGGATAGTTTATAAATTGCAAGGATTTATAGTGCATTTAATTTTTGTAGGCAGCTTTTCACAGTAGACTTTGAAGTCAGGGGCAGAAATGATTACACGGAAGTTTTGGACAGCATGTGATTTTTAAGCACAGCATCAGCCGGACGATGTTTTCCCCAGGCAGATTCTGCCCTCACGTGTGCCCTGAGGGTGCAGCCAGCGTGTGAGGAGGGTGCAGTGACACCGTGTGCTTGCTGCTGGGCTCGGGAGGTGGAGGGTGACGTTTGCCTCGGCAGCGGCAGGAACAAGGGGTGAACTTTGGATGAGCTTGAACTCTCCCTTGGGAAATGCCAGGTTTCTGCACTGGGACCATGACAGACTTGTTACTGCTCTGAAGCTTCCATCAGCACTTCTCTGGAGGGAGGATGATGAGGCCACCCCGCAACACTGATCGCAGCAGGGTTACACACACCTGCTCCGCGAATGTGCCTGAGTAGAAACCACGCAAATTTCTGCGTGTATTTCTTTGGTCACAGAGAGCAATATTACCTCGGTCACAGACAAACGTGCAGGAAGAGCGAGTGTAGTATTCCTGCAGCACCTCGCTGCTCTGAGGCAATTCTCCAGGCTGACTAGGTGCGTGTGTTCATATAAAGCAGGAGTCTGCATATGTATTGAAACTTGCCGGGCTACTCATGCCTTTAAAGGAACATACCGAACCCCTTAGAGTAAAATAATGTATGACTGCGGTGATCAGAAGTGTATAAGTTTGAAGGAGCTGGTCTAAGTTAACAGGGCTAACTAGTTAATCAAATGCAATGTGAGAATTGGTATTCCACAGAGGTGCAGCTCTACCGGTGCATCCTGATTGCCATTTTTGCATTTAAGCATATTTTGGAAATATACTGTGCTGGTCTGTGCCAAAGGGTAAGAAACCTCAGCCTGTACTGCTTCAGCTGCCAGCCAGCATCCTCCTCCTGCAGAGCCCGCGCTTTTAAGGCAAACAGTATCACTTGCCGGAATTTCTTCCTCCTGTCTTGTACTTTTCATTCTTAGCTAATCAACGCAAGTTCTGGGCCAATGCCACTGGCAGCCACTGCTAACAATTTTGCTGAATTCGGTGAGGGCGCCTCTGACTGGCAGCGGTACGGCTGAACGCAGGGCTTGGATCGTGACCCTCCCCGTGTGTAACAGCTGCACACACTGTACCACTGTGTGTCTGGCGCAGGGCAGGATCATCACACTCAGAACATAATTTGGGAGGAATCTGCATCACGCACTAAATGTGAAATCAGCAGTAATTCATGGTTCTAAAAAAAAGTTTTCCACTCTCATCCAGAGACCCAGCCGTCAGCATTACTCAGTGTGTTGTGAATCAATGAACAATATCAACCTCTAGCAGAGTGTGGGTTAGAAAAGTCACCCTTTCCCAGAGGAAAATATTGCATATGAGCTTAGTGTAATGGCGTCCTACTCCCTGATTTAGATGGTAGGGCATTAAAATACAGTAAATACAACTGAGACAACATGAAAAGGCCCTGCTCCACAAATGAAACAGCTGCATCTTCGTGGCTGATCATCTTAATTGCTCCAGTTAATTACCACGCATCAAAAAATATATGAAAGCGAGATGTACGGAATGAGATGAGATGAGATATCGGGGAGCACACCTGCGTTTGTTCAGACTGGTCTGCGCAGCAACAGAGCGAGTGCCCCGCGGTTCCCGAGAGTGCGGCTGCTCCGACCCACAAGTTGACTCCTCAAACCGCTCGCGTGCGGCAGGAGCCCGCAGCGCTCCCCTGCGCCACTGCTTACACTGCTAACCCAAACCCTGCTGCAACAAACAGGGGCTAAACCACAAAGTAGTGGCCTTCCTATTTTGGGTAATCCTTTGTCCTCTTCCGCACAAATAAGAGAAGGGTAATACATTCTGTGACAATGCTGCAAAGAAGCCCAAAATATCCCGCTGTTTGTCAGGAGCGTTGGCAGAAGTGAATCACGTCTTTGATGTGCCGACAATTGCAAACCCGACTCGTGAAAAGTCCCGATGTCGGGGATGAGGCGGGTGAAGCAGCTCGAAGCCACGTAACCCCGAGCAGCGATGCTCCCAGCGGTCACTGAGCTGGCAGCGTGCACGAACGCCGCAGCAGCACTGCCGGTGCTGGGCCACCCTCCCTCAGCCTTACACAGAACAGACCGCTCCCAAATTAAATGAAAATTGAAAAGGTTCTCCCACTCAACGGATTCTCTGCCTATGTCTGTCTATATGAAGATGCCAATTACAGTCAGTAGCGTGGGTTTTTTGGTTTTTTTTTTTAAAAAAAAGCAGGTATTCCTTTGCAAATAAGCAAACCCTTTGATCAAAAGAACTACTGACATTTGGTCTTTTAGACACCCTGGAGTGAGCTGGAGAAGCCCGGTCCCAGCGTACACATCACTCTATCGAGTTCTTTCTTACATCGATGATTCAACATTTAACAAAATTTCAGTGGACTGACAGTACTCACCCCCACACCCACAGTGTAGTTTTCAGGATGAGGAAAATAAATCTTTATCTTCTACATGTTTTATCTTTCTCTCTCTGCTTACATATATAAACACATACTGCTGTTATTTTGGAAGAGAAATCAACAACACAAAAACAAAACAACAAAAGGAAAGCATTATTACTACTAGTGGAAAGAAAAGGAAAAAAAAAGTAAGAATTATGGGCACAGTGAAGGAACTGTGAAATTTTATAACACTTCTGTGTTACAACAAATGCTTCCTTGTCAGCAATAGAGTGATGCCTGTGGGAGCCAGCAGAGCTCTGCAGGTTCTCGCGGTGTGAGATGGAGAGGTCTGTCCTGCTGCGTGGTCCGTGGCAGCGCCCTGCCCCAGCTGCACCCCGG